GGCGGGTCTCGAACCCGCAGGCTCAGGCAATCCACTCACCTCAGCCTCCCAAAGCGCGGGATTACAGCCTGAGCCACCAAGCCCGGCTTAGAGCCACTTTTTCAAGTATCTGACACAAGTTTCCATACTACTCCAACTTCACTTCTTTCTGAGTCACTTGAGATACAGCACTTTTTGAATATGTATATGACTTCTATGTTAGCATTAGGATTTTCAAATAATTTGACCTCTAGGGATGTATTTGTGTCTTCACAACATAATTGTAATGGCGTTCAAGCAATTCGATTGTGAAATTATGCCACAGATAAAAACATACAAATCTTTATTAAATATCATCTTCTCTTTCCAAAACCAGCTCCACCTGGTAATTTGTGGTAGCATTTAGAGTCAGCGTTGAATGACATTGTTTTTCAAAATGAAATAGATAAGGGAAAGTGCATGATAGAATTTGAAAATGTTCTTAAATTTGCCTTTTTGCAAATATAATTTGGGGAATAGTCTTTCTTTATATTTGAACATATGTGATAATATCCCCAAATTGTAAGTTCTTTGAAAAAAATAAGTCAGGTGGTGTGATGTAGTGTTAGGGATGGGAGGCTATAGTTTCTGCTATGGAGGCCAAAAAAGACCTCTTTTAGGACATGGCATTTGACCTGAAGGAAAAAGAGATATCCATGCCAAAATTCAAAGCAAAAGTTGCTCCACAAAAGCCCTGAGACGCAATGAACTTGGCAGTTTGAGGAACAAAAGAGAAGACCTTTGTACTAGGAGTGAATGGGGAATATTCAGAGAGTTACCGAGTCCAGAGCATATCATAGGCTGGGGTTACAGTCTAGATTTTATTCTAATTGCAATGGAAACTATCAAATTAGGGAAGTGATATGATCAGATGTGTATATGTGTTTAAAGTTTATTCTACATTCTAAGGAATGAAACGGATAGGGAAGTGGGTGACGGAAAGTTGGGGAAGTGATAGGAGGAGCCCAGATAGAAGGCTTTTGGAATGGTTAAGTTGGTTTAGGCTTATAGCAGTGGAGAAATAGAGAACTGATTAGAGCTGGATCTATTTGGGAGATGGTGCCGACAGGACTTTCTTGTGGATTGAGTTGTAGAGTATGAAGGACACAGAGGAATCCAAGATAACCTTTGGACTTGGACCTAAGTATGGAAGTGAGTGGTAATACCAGTTACTAAGGGAAATGCGGGAAGATTAGATATGTCAAAATCAGGAGTTCTATTTGGACACATTGTGTTTGAGATGTTTATTGAAACCCAAGAGATGTTGAGTAGGACGTTGGGTATTTGAATCTAAGGTTCAGGGGAGATATATATTTGTGAGTTGTTAGCATAATGAGGTTTATGGGGTTATATGAGATCACTCATTAAGAGTTCAGGAAGAGAAAGACTGAGGGGTGATCAATAAGAATGAAGGGTAATAAAGTGTATTGTCCATGAAGTCAAGTGAAAAAAAAGTATTTCAAGAAGGAGGGAATGAGTAGCTGTTTGGAATATTGCTGAAAGGCAGGGTAAAATGAATTGGTAACTGACATTGGATTTGGTAAGGGGTAGTGACCTTTATAAGTGCAGTTTCTGTGGGCTGATGAGAAGGAAGATCTGACCAAAGTAAGTTAGCTAGGGCATGGGATGCAATGTGGAGAGTGAGTAATGCCAGCCCTTCTGAGGAATGCTGCTCTGAAAGAAGCAGGTAAGGGGCAGTATTTGGGACTGGGCATATAGGGTGTCCAGGATTTATTTTTATGTTTCTATTAGGTTCTAATAGTATTGTGTATCTAAAGCGGGTGGTACATGTACACGTACACATACACGTACACGTACACGTACGCGCATAGAATATAATACATAATAGGATTATATACGCAAACCCCCCTACCCCCGTTACTATAATATTACTAACGCAACAATATACTCCTGCCAAACCCCCAAAACAAGAGAATCACGCCAGCTCATATAGATAACTTACGCTCACCCAATTATATTCTTCGCTTATGTGTATTTTATTGATTTACAGAGCCATGTCCCTATTAAGGAATGAAATCCCTAATTAAATTTATATTTTTCAAGTAACACTATTAGTTAACTAACTACATATTCTCTAAATTCCTATCTAAATCCTAATTTCCTAAATTTTACCCCTTTTTATTCACTTAATAATCCTAACACAACCAATACTAACATAATACTTTAGCCCTGTAAATAATATAGGTTAATGTAGCTTACTATTAAAGCAAGGCACTGAAAATGCCTAGACGGGCCCAAACCCCATAAACACAAAGGTTTGGTCCTAGTCTTCTTATTAGTTCCTAGTAAAATTATACATGCAAGTATCTGCCCCCCAGTGAGAATGCCCTCTAGGTCCCAACAGACCAAAAGGAGCCGACATTAAGAACACTAATATAGTAGCTCATAACGTCTTGCTCAACCACACCCCCACGGGATACAGCAGTAATAGAATTTAAGCAATAAACGAAAGTTCGACTAAGTTATACTAGAAACACAGGGTTGGTAAATTTCGTGCCAGCCACCGCGGTCATACGATTAACCCAAACTAATAAAATCCGGCGTAAAGCGTGTTTAAACTATACTTAAACTAAAGTTAAACCCTGACTAGGCCGTAAAAAGCTACAATCTAATCTAAAATAACCCACGAAAGTGACTTTAATACTTTGAAGACACGACAGCTAAGACTCAAACTGGGATTAGATACCCCACTATCTTAGCCATAAACACAAATAAATATAAACAAATTTATTCACCAGAGTACTACAAGCAACAGCTTAAAACTCAAAGGACTTGGCGGTGCTTCACATCCCTCTAGAGGAGCCTGTTCTATAACCGATAAACCCCGATTTACCTTACCACCTCTTGCTAATTCAGTCTATATACCGCCATCTTCAGCAAACCCTAAAAAGGCCTTAAAGTAAGCACAAGTATAAGCATAAAAACGTTAGGTCAAGGTGTAACCTATGAGGTGGAAAGCAATGGGCTACATTCTCTACTTTAGAGTATTACGAATATTCTTATGAAAATAAGAATTAAAGGAGGATTTAGTAGTAAACCAAGAATAGAGAGCTTGATTGAAACAAAGGTCATGAAGCACGCACACACCGCCCGTCACCCTCCTCAAATGCAACTCCACATCAACTACATAAAACAAATCACAGTGCATGAGATGAGATAAGTCATAACAAGGTAAGCATACTGGAAAGTGTGCTTGGAATAAACAAAGTGTAGCTTAAATCAAAAGCACCCGGCTTACACCCAGAAGATTTCACAAATGATCACTTTGAACTTAATCCTAGCCCAATCTAAACTAACTAAATTATACAAAATCTTGTAAACTAAAACATTTACCTTAACCTAAAAGTATAGGAGATAGAAATTTATATAGGCGCTATAGACAAAGTACCGCAAGGGAAAGATGAAAGATACCTTAAAGTACAAAAAAGCAAAGACACTCACTTTTACCTTTTGCATAATGAATTAGCTAGAACAATTTCACAAAGAGGATTATAGCCAAAAATCCCGAACCCAGACGAGCTACTTGTGAACGGCCATAAAGGCATACTCATCTATGTCGCAAAATAGTGAGAAGATTTCCAAGTAGTGGTAAAAAGCCTACTGAGCCTGGTGATAGCTGGTTGTCCAAAATAGGATATCAGTTCAACTTTAAATTTACCTACAGAACAAATAATCCCCATGTAAATTTAAATGTTATTCTAAAGAGGGACAGCTCTTTAGA